CCCACATCAGACAGCAAAGGAAAGAGAGGACACACTTGACCCCACATTTCTATATATCCTGCAAATGCCTGTGGAGAAATAGCTCCACTTACTCTTTCTTTACGACAGTGAAAACCTAATTTCTGGAGGCCAAGTAAATATCTAAGAGAAATATGTTTGGACTATAAAAGCAAAGTTTGGTTTTCAGTGTTTTCAGACTGTGCAGTCATTTTTCCAAACAAATAATCCTCCAAAATAAAACAGATAAAACTGGAACTCTTCTGGTTGACCCTAATATCATACCCTTTCTGACACCCTCTCCCTTCCTAATAGCTGACACTCTTCCCCAGAACACAGCTTAAAAATCTCTTGTCTCTGGAACATCCTAAAGAAATAAAATGGTTCTATTTGAACATTAAAATCTCCTGTTGACAATTTCAGAAAAAAAAATCAAATACCATAACTAAAAACAATTTTAGGGCTAATTTTAGTCTATGCTCTTATGAAATACATATGGACATTGTTCCCCTAGATGAGGCCTTGCTTCCTCAGTTATTATGTTACATATTTTTTAAAGACATGAGAATATAAATCTCTCAATGATTGTGGGAACCACATATAAAACCACCTTCTAATGTTTTGCCTGAACTCACTGAGATTACATAACCATCTTTAAGCTCAATAATGAAATGATCACTTAACCACTTAAAAGGGGGCAAAGGCTCTGAGCAGACATTTCCCCAGGAAAGCATAGAAATGGCCAACAAGCACACAAAGAGCCGTCGGGAAAATGTGAATCAAAACCACAATGGGACATCATTTCACACTCACTAGATGGCTATGTCAAAAAGGCCCAATGAGTCCTGGAAAAGATGTGAAATTGGAACCCTTATACCCTGCTGGTGAGAACAGAGGATGGAGCAACCCCCTGGAAACAGCAAGGCAGTTTTTCAAAAGGGTTACATGTGGAGTTATCATATGGCCCAACATTTCTACTTCTAGCACAAGAGGGAATTGAAAACATATGCTCTTGTATATGAATGTTTATAACAGCATGATTCATAATAGCCAAAAAATACAAATGATCCAAATGTCTAGAAAATGATGAAAGGATAAATAAAATGTACATCTATGCAATGAAATACTGTTCAACAGTAAAATGGAATGAAGTATTGATGCATGACACAACATGGGTGAACCTGGAAAACACTGTACGAGTGAAAGAAGCCAATCACTTTTCTAAGAGTCACTCTCTTTATCTGTTATTCTAAGTCAATCTTCTAAACACCAAATACATAGATCAGACAGGTGGTTTCTCCTTTGGACAAGCTAAAAGCCATCAAATATTTTATGTCACTTCCATTAGCTTCCATTACATACACAAAAAGCTATATGTGTTGTGTAAAATGCTTATCGTATGTACTTTAAAAAGCATACTATTTTATGTGTGATTATGTGGAGATATATATTCACATGCAAAAAGGCCTAGAAAGAAGTAGGTTAAAAATGATAGCAGGAGTTCTTTAAAGACATCAGAATTCTTGGTAATGTTTTAATTTTAATAAAGTTCTCATTTTTGTGGGGGTTTTTTTTATAGTAAAAAGAAAAAAAAAAGTTTGATAAAAGTAGAAATGAGCTTCTCTTGCCTCACTATTCATAAGGAATGATTCTTTAAACTGGATTAATCTAGGGTAAGTGTATGATACTAAAAGTGTTTGACTTCTTTATCCATGCAATAACATGATTAAAAATAATAGTTATAGCAACTTTTCTCATCCACTGCTGCAAATTATCCCAAACTTGATCCAGGGAGACCTCCTCTGGAGATGAGAGAGAAGTTCAGTCTGAAATTTAAACTGCAAGCTGTGTATGAATAACTCCAACAAAGAAAAACTCTCTTTTAAACTACTTTAGTTAGCATCTTTCTTTGGTCTAACCAACCACCGGAGGCAACATAATCAGCCACACTTTATGAAATGATGAGGAAGAAATTCTTATCAATCATCAAAAAAGAAAAAAAAACTGAAGAGCTAATTACTTGGGTCAAATCCATCTGGCCCATTTCACTTTGTTTGAAAACAAAGACTTGAGGATAAGATTTGCTGTAAAATGAATTTCTGCTTCAGTACAGTATTAACTGAAAACAACAACTGCTAATAATTCTTGGAGGATGAGGCTCATTTGTTTATAAATATAACCAGACTTCCCTATTTAACAATTTATCTTAGCAACACTTTATTGCTGATATTGACTGTATTTTAAATATAGACTACACAAACTAAAAATAAAGTATGTGCACACAAAGGATTTTACTATAACCTATAATTGGCTACTCCAAATCAACCTTACTCATATTTGACCCTAGGCACACACAGGTCTATGACAGATGACCAGGATACAAAGAGATGCTAAAGGGTATCTATGTCTGCGGGAATTATACACAGTCAGAAAGATAGGAAATAAACAGACAGCCATGGATAATACTGATTCATAAAAAGTACCAAAGAATCATTCTAGTGACTCTTCTTTTGCTCCGGAAAAGTACTGATCATTCTGTGATGGCTGGGCAGGGATATGGGCTGAACTCTCAGCCACGCTGGGCAGCATTTGGGCAGCCACAGAGGAGGAAAGGGGCCAAGAACATGGTGTGAACAGGCCTCACATGCAGGAGGATCTTCCTCCTACCTGGGAAAAGTGAATAGGCCAATGCCACTGAAGCGAGGGATGTAGACATTGTATGTAGGCAGACTATGGTGGCTCTTGAAATCCAGGCCCCAAACTGGCTGTCACTTTCTAGCAACAAGAAACCATAGGCAGGAACACCAGTTATTGCATCAACCAAGATGGTAGAATTGGGAATGCAGAAAAATAAATTTGAGAAGCTTTATGTCAAAGAAAGAAAACTAAGAAGAGAAAGGAGGAGAAGAAGGAAGAAGAGAAGGAAGAAGAAAACTAGTGATACATCCATTGTTTAGGGAAAGCATTCAGATAAGAGGTTTGGGGAGGATTTAAGATGAGTTCTGCAGAAGCATACATATGATTATCTAAATAAGGGGCTACCCTACTTCTTTATGTTTCTGGAGGGTTGCATAAAGTACTTCTGCTAGTCTGCTAGCCATCTTCTTTCTAGAAGTTGACTATGCCTTTTCTTATTTTAATATTGTGGTGGTACCCACAAGTTATCCTGTTTCCCAACACAAGCAGTAAGGCTATATTTCAAAGACCATATATGGCTAACTCTCATGTCATTATTCTATCATTTTTTAAAATATAAATATATAAAAATATAAACTTGCAGAACATATAATTTAGTGGATGATTCTTGTGTTGCTCCCAAAATGCCATACATGGGTTTAATTTAAGTAACAAAGTACTCCGATAAATTCGAACTAAAGCATTTATAAAGAAAGACAAAACTATCTGGGGTTTTTTCTATCATACCACTACAGTTCACATACACAAACACACACACACACTCCCCCCCCCCCCACACACACACACATTCTACTGATTATGGCAGCCTTCCTTTGAATGCAACATTTGTTACATCACTAATAATCTTTAATTTTTTTTATAAAATTGTTTTTAAGAAGCAGACTATATAAATGTGCAACCTGAGTATTCCAGGCAACTTATCAAAACTCATAGACCAAAAGGAACCCTCAGATTTATGAAGAAAATGTTGTATTTCTGATTTTATTTATTAATTTATTTATGTAAGTATTGTGGATTGGACCCATGATAAGCAAGTGCTCTACCACTGATCTATACCTTAACTCCTTTTTAAATTTTTATTTTGAGGCAGGGTCTTACTAAATTGCCCAGGTTCCTGAGTAGCTGGAATTACAGACATGTACCCTGTTCTGATTTCTTAATAACATCTTTTAATCCCATATAACCAAAGTCCAGGTAGAATATTAGATTTGAAGCATGGAAGAGCAAGGAAGTAAGAAAGAGTTAAATGAGGTCTTAGAGTAAGTACAGAAATCTGCTCCCCAAATCCATAATCCATTCTTTACCACCAAGTCATGTTGTCTAACCACTATTCTGGGGATTCTTAAAAGAGTACTAAGAATTTAAGTTTCTGTAAACAAAATGCATTTCACTTCCTCTCATTTAAAAATCTAGTAATAAATATATATCATGTGTCACTCCAGTAAGTAAGATGGAAAAGAAGAAATAAAAGTTAAGAATTACACTATGTTTGAATTCTGTTTCATGCATTGGACAAGGGTTTTCTTAGCCGTTGGGTGTCACATAATTGCCCAGGCTTCCAGAATTTGAAGATGGTCAACATCTAACTTTCCATGATTTTATGGCACTCACCACTTAGTAGTGACTAAAATATCCCTAATAAATGTATAAGTACTAACTGTTCAATAGTATTAAGTCAAAGAGTCTAAAGCTGTTGCTTTGAAATAAGAAAATGAGGAGTCACTTGGGTAGATGTCAGCAGAATTGAGTGCAGTTAAAAAGGGGGATTCTGAAACAAAAAGTTAGGGGTGAGTAAAATTAGAATACTCTAATTAATAGAACTGAATAATCCCCTATAGCAGAACTGTAATTGTATTAAGAGCCATCAAGACAAAAATTTATTCAGACTATAAAATAGCTGGACAACTAATACATCTGCATTATTCCATTATTCCAAAAACTTATCCCAGTGGCTTCTCCATTTAATGTAGAAACTCTACCATTTAAAAATTAATTAAAATCCACTCCAAGCCAAAGCACTCTAAGGCCTCAGGCACATTTACAGAGAACATAGTATGACTCTAGGTAGTAATTTGTCAATTTAATTTCCTGAACCAAAATCTTTTATTAAAAAAAATAATAAGTTTTGAGTAAAAGCACCCCTCTGTTCTTTTTGCTACCCCATGAAGTAAAGCACTCAAGCTACAGCAGGACCATTTATCTAGATTATTCCCACAACCTGCTCCCCTCTCACCCACCTCCAGCCTTTGCAAAATAGAAGGTGCTTGGAGGAGAGTGAGTATTTGGGGGGCATGGTTAGTACTTACTTTCTTTCCTCAAGCAGAGCGATTTCTTTTTTGACCTCATGGTATTCTTCTGCTATTTGGCAGTGCTGTTTGAACACCTGCATGGATTCCACGGAGTCATGACAAGGTGGCAGAGGCTTTGCAAACAACAAGAAGAGATAATCAGTCCATTTCTTTGCATCAGAATACATTACCAACAATTAGTTCTGCTCCTATTCTTTAGAGGGAGATTTTTTGCATGAAGCAGCATTGTAAATCAACATTAGACAAAGTCTGGTGAGTTCTATTTGACTGAAAATAGAAAGGTGGACTGATAGTCACCACGTGCATCTTTCAAAGACATTCATGGGCATCTCGGGCCTGAGCTAGAGCCCTGAAACCCATTACGTTTCAATTACTTGCCATGTGTTGTTGGAAAAATGTCTCCTAATGATTTTGCAGCTCTCTTCCAGAAATCTTAAACAGCTTTAGAAAAGGGCAGTTGTGTGGGGGAATACTTCAGTTGTCTGTTTCAATTACCCCTCACTGTCTGTTCTGGTAGCCCACAGGCATAATTTCATCCTGCAAAATGGAGTAGTCTTACAAAAATGGCTCATCCCTGAGAAACTCATCCAACCTGAAGAAATGATGGTGAGCTGGAAATAACACTTGCAAGCATTAACAATTCCGCATGAAAGACCAGACCTCAAATAAAACCCTGCTGATAACATGAACACAAGAGCGTACATATCATTTCTCCTTTTTTTTCCCATTCATGTCAGAGAGGCCAGCATGGCAACCCTTTCTGAACATACCATGGTAAAACCCTTACTTCTAGAAATTATTTTTAAAGAACTAACTTTCCTAAGTTTATTATTCTAATGTCTATGTTATCTGCATGTGACGGAAAAAACACTTTTTTTAAGAATACTAGTTAATTGTCTTTTAAAGAGTTTTTTTGAAATCACCCTTTACAATTATTTATAGAAAAAAGTATATACAATCTGAAAAATATGAGTTCATTGTTAAATAGGCTCTTCAGTCTAATGAATTGTTTACAATAGTCTATATGTGTAAGCCATGTACCTGATGAGGTCCTGTTCTGATTTTATATTAGTAAATTGAGAACTAGCGAATTTCTTACTGTTTGCTTCTCTCACATTCTTCAAGGACACATATTTCAAAGGATGAAATACAAATTCAATAAAATTTATCATCTGATTGATTTTAAAAAAATGACCCTCCCTATTTACCATGAGGTCTCTGAGTAAAAATGTTCTAAAGGAAATAAGATTCTAAATAACTATGCACATGTTGAATTATCATACTGAACCCCCCCCCCCCCCGTTAATAGGAACAATTAACACATGTCAATCACTAATTAAATTTAAAAAGAGAAAAAGAGTTGGATCAATTTTACTTTCATGTGAAATCTGTCTTGCCTGAGACATAAAAATATATGGTGGCACATGGCTGTAATCCCAGCGGCTTGGGAAGCTGAGACAGGAGGATCTCAAGTTCAAAGCCAGCCTCAGCAGTGCTGAGGTATTAAGCAACTCAGTGAGACCCAGTCTCTAAATAAAATACAAAATAGGACTGGGGATGTGGCTCAGTGAGTGAATGCCCCTGAGTTCAATTCCCAGTACCTCCCCACCACCAAAAATCACACACCCACACCCACACCCACACACACACACACACACACATAAAATAACACGGGGCTGGGGTTGTAGCTCAGTGGTTGCCTTGCACTTGTGTCACTGGGTTCAATCTTCAGCATCACATAAAAACAAATAAACAAAATAAAGGTACAACTGAAAAAAATGTTAAAATATATATGTTTATAATAACAATCTTCTGTGTACCATCTTTCCCTACTGCCCCATGTGCATGCCGGTAGCATAAACTCAGCCTGTTGGAACCATTCTCCCTTTCTATATAGAAATAAATTGAAAAGTAGTGCATAGTAGTACTACAATATAATTCACACCATGAGATGAAGCTGTTGCCAAAGGAATTCAGAACTCCTGGCTCCTCCAGTCTGTGTCCCAGAAATCGCTACCCACTCATCAATTTTCACCTGTTACACTGGCAAATTACCAGGTATAACAGGCAGGGGAATGAAAGCAATGTACCCTGGGCTCACTAGCCAAGCTGTTAAATCATCTGTGCCCTGTTAAAGGATTTGCTTACTGGCAGACATAAAACTACACATCCTATCCTGTCCTGATGACTATCACATAGGCCACACTCAGTTCAAATGAGTTTAGTACATAATTGCCTCCCACAAGTATCCAATCCACAAATGAAGCATAGGAACCTATGTAATAGCCAAAAGATTCGAGAACTCTGTGTAAAGAATCTGCATGCTTAAGAAAATATAGAAGAGAGCAGACATGTAAAGGCAGAAATGTCCTTCACTGCACAAATGAAAAAGGAAAATTGAAAACTAGCCCCCTCACCCTTTGCTTACTACTTTGCAATGCTTTTATTTAAGTGGGAAGTTTAGCTTGTTCATTTTTTTATTGACACTTTTATTGTAGGGAATCTGAAGATATTATTATATATAAGTAGTGTAATCATGCCGCTAAGGGTACATGAAAATAAGTAGTAAGTATTTCAGGATATTTTCAGTATCCTCATGCACTCTTAGCAGAAATAAGCATGCAACATATACATAATAATATTTTCAAGATTTACCACAATAAAGTGGCAATTAAAAAGAGCAAGCTATAATTTAATGTGCATTTCCAAGAGCAAAAAAACAGCAGTTATCATTTCAGCCTCTAACCCCTGCAAGCTGTCTTCGCCCAGACCTCCAGACCCTACTATAACTCACCACCACTTTAGGGTTTCCTAATTTTCAAGAAAACATTCAAGAGCAATGTAGATTTCCTTTTTTTTTGAGCAAGGAAAGAAATTATATTGCAAAACCCACCATAATATTGTAAAATTATCTTACTAGTTTCCAGAGACTGCAGGGGAGGGGAATGAAAAGTTATTGTGTATAGAGTTTCAATTTTACAAGATAAAGTTCTGGAGATTGGTTATATAACAGTGTAAATATACTTAACATTACTGAACTGTCCAACCACAAGAATGGGATCCTAATTAGAATAAGTTATACTCCATGGATATATAATATGTCAAAATACACTCTAGTATCATGTATATCTAAAAAGAACAAATAAAAAAAAGAAATTATGATAATCACAATCACCAAAAAAGTTACTAAAATGATAAATTTTAGTAAATGGGGGGGTACCACAATTTTTTTAAAAAATGCAAAAAAAAAAAAAATTCTCATCAGATATTTCTGCTGCCCCTGACTCACCTTTGAAGCATTGCTACCAGGATTCCCTATTTGAAGCTCACTGAATTTGTACCCAGACTTTTTCTCTTTCCCAAATTTCTCTCCAGGAAACTTCAAATTCCTCACCCCTTTATATTTATAATCCCAATCCATTCACTGCTAATCAGGAATGTTGATGGCAAATCAAAATGTCCTCTGGCCAGCAGAATCTAATGTTCTTAGACGATGAGTAACATTGTTAGACATTCACCCTAGCCCAGAAAACTCAACAGAGAATTTGTTTCAACACATAGGATGCTGCTGGGCAAGAGGGCCCACCCATGTAATCCCAGCAACTGAGGGTAGCGGGGACGCTGAGACAGGAAGAGTGCAAGTTCAAGGCCAGCCTGGGCAATTGAGTGAGCTCCTGTCTCAAAATAAAAAATAAAAAGGGCTGGACAAAATGCCAGTGGCTCAGTGGTAAAATGCCCCTGGATTCAATCCCAGTATTATGAACAAAACAAAAACATGATGTTCTCACCCCAACAGGAATTCTGATGAAAAAAAAAACTGAGATATTTAGGTTTTATACATAATATAAAAAGTAGAAACAGAATAATGGAAGCGTTATTCTGTGTAACAGCATATTCTCATTGCCTTATGACATAAAGTGTGCATGTGTGTAGTTTCGTTAGGTCCAAGACCACAGTGATTCTCTCTTACCTTCTTATAATGGCTCAGGTTAAGCAACAATGTATGACCAACAGTGTTCATTGAAATAAAGTTTCTGCCTGAGAAAATAGATGCCCAAAAGCATGAGAACTGTCTCTCCAGTTTAAAAATGGAGCTACCAGTTGATTTAAGCAACGTGGCATCTAAAGCAACTGGCATTTGTGAGCTGATGAGCTGTGCATAGGTTTGTGTTAAGTTAAAAACTAAAGAATAGGGGTTGGGGATGTAGTTCAGTTGATAGGGTGCTTGCCTTGCACGCACAAGGGCCTGAGTTCAATCCCCAGTACAAAAAAAAAAAAAAGAATAACAAAAGAATGCCCACAGTGACCAGGTGACAAACATTCATTAACTTTAGTTTTAATAAAAGTAACACCTTTTCCATTCTCATTGCTTGACTTGGACTATATTTCTTATATTATCGTAGTTAAAATCCCATGCCGACTACGGACAAGCAATAAAGAAACTATTGATGTGATCATTTCTTTTCACAGCAGGAGGAGAAATTTGCCTTGTGAATGAATATTCTCCATTACTATGCTACTTTTTTTAAAAAAAAAATTATTTCCCACACTTTGGATACATTTATTCCATACTCTGGTTTAAAAAATGAAATGCTGCCTACCGAACAAGAGGAATCCAAAACATACATATTCAAGACACTGATTGGGGCTTGGATGAGGCCAGACCCCGGGGGGTGGCACTGCCTCTTCACCCTCTTTCTCCCATCTCCGCCTCTCCCCATGGCAGCTTGGGAGGACGATGGAGCTCCAGAAGGGTTTAAATTTCATGGCAGTTTGTGGGAACTGCTACTACCTCTGGTACCCAGCCCAATCACCGGGACCGATTTAACAAGATGAAGTAAGAGAGAAACCGCAGGGTTCTATTCCAAGAATGCCGCCTTGAGCCACACCAGGCATCTCGGCCATCAGTTCACAGCAAGCTCCTCCTGGGTGGATTCCGGCCTTTGGAAAGGGCCCCATGGGAGAGGGCCGGGCCAAGCATCCCTCCGCAAGGGGCAAAGCCGGCTTAAGCGTTTCCGTTTTCTACTTGGCCTCTGCAAATACTACTGGCCCGTCCACTTTAAACATGCAAGAATTTAATTTTCCTATCCCAGCTTCCCACACAGAAGATATA